CAGCGGTGGCGGCAGGTATGGCCGGTGCTGGGCGGGTGAAGGCCGGGGGATGCGGGGTAAGCACCCACGAGATTTGGACTGCTCCCGCGCCCACGTGGCTGTCCGCGTGCAGTGCCACGGAGAACCAGGGTGGGGCGCGGGAACTTGGGGTCGCTGGCAAAGGCACCAGGCACCCTGCATACCCCCGGCTCTCCTGACCCTGGCCGGCACAACTGCAGTGCCCAGGGATGAAGGTGGCCTCGGTGAGCCCACCATCTACTGAGGCAGGTGCCCTGAGGCCCGTTCCAGCCCCTCTCCGAAGGCCAACAGGGCCAGATCTGGGGAACAGTGAAGAGGGACCCCTGGTCCCCTGGAACCGGGGAAAGGGGGGACAAAAGGCTGCCTACCCTCACCACCCAGCTGTCACTCAGGCTGCTGTACCACAGTCAGGTCCCCTACACCTCAGGCTACGCACCGTCCAAGTCCCGGGCTTGCCTATATCCTGACTCTCAAATGCACACACCCCAGCCTTCGGGAGATGCAAACTGCAGCCAAATCCTCCCAGCCCAGGATTAACCGACCCTGGAGGGAGCTGTCATGCAAAGCAGACGGAGGGATGCCAAAGGAACAGGCAGTCTCCGCCCCCCCCCCCGCAATTTTGTCCTACCTCTCACAACTCTAACAGGCGCCTTAGAAAGGGGACCCACATGAAGGGGGGGGGGGCACAAGATATAGATGACAACAGGACTCTGCACACCTGGAAACCTTTCCAAGGCAGGGAAGACAGTGGCCTGTTCTCCACTCCAGAGCTGGGCCCGATGAGGCTCAGGATGCAAAGGATGGAAAGTTTGCTATGCTGCTAATAAGCTCTGCTGGGTCGGGGAGCCCTGGGGCCTCATTAGTAGGGCCTCATGGGACTCTGGTTCTGGCACCCCGCAACTCCTCTGTGGCCCTCAGAACAGTGGATGTGGGAGTGTGGCCCTGGGATTTGTCCCAGGTGTGGGCACTGGGTGGCAGCCCCCCAGCTCTGTTGCTTCGTCCTGTGCCAGACCCTATGGCACACATTTTTCTTTCAGGACAAAAGATTTGAATGTATGATTTTTTTTTCTAAACTAAAACCTCAGTATTCAGGTTTAACTGCAGTGTTAGCACTTTGCAATAAATGAGTTTTGGGTTGCAGTTTGGGCACTCATCTCTAAATTGTTCACCATCGCTATCCTATGCCCTCCAGCCCCAGGCTGGCTACTTCCGAAGCCCCAGACGCCATGGAGGAGTGGGATGTCCCCCAGATGAAGAAAGAGGTAGAGAGCCTGAAGTACCAGCTGGCCTTCAAGAGGGAGATGTCCTCCAAGACCATTCCGGAGTGAGTCCTCACCTGCCCACCATGCATCTCATTTTCATCTCATTTGTGTGCAGGACCTGGCCCCGGGGACAGGTGTCTCAAGGGCCTGCACTCACTCCTGCCCCACCCGCAGGCTCCTCAAATGGATCGAGGATGGGATCCCCAAGGACCCCTTCCTGAACCCTGACTTGATGAAGAACAACCCCTGGGTGGAGAAGGGCAAGTGTGCCATCCTGTGAGCCAGACACAGTGGGTGTAAAGTGTGACTTTATAAAGACTTCTCCAGACAGTGTCCTCCTGGTGCATTTCCTGTGCGTCTCGTGCTACAATAGGTCCCTGATATACACGCCCCGCCGCACAGCATTGGAGACGCCCTCGTTGAAGCGGAACCAGACCTCGCTCCTGCCCACTGCTGTGCCCATGTGCCACTCTACCGCATCCTTCTCTGGGGCCTTGGTCTCTGTAGGGACCACAGGGTTACTCTTCAGCCACCCCCAGCCCCCGGGGGATCCCCTCCCCACCCACACACACCTGTACTTGGAGCTGCTGCTCTCCTGACAACCACACGTCCGAAGAAGTCCCTCTCAGGCTGCAGGAAGAGGGTATCAAGCGTGGGGCTGGGTGGGGTGATGGGAACTACCACGTCTTAGGGTGGAGGTCTTGAGCCTGGGCTTGCAGCTGAGGACACCTTTTCCAGTCCATTACCCACTGATCCCAGCCCAACCCAACAGGTTCATCCTTAGGCCTCAGAGCCAGCCTAGCACTCCAGAGCCCACCCAACCCCTCACAGCAGCCTTGCCTGGCCCTGCCCCACACCTGCTCCTCCAACGCTGCTTTCTTCATGATATATTCTAGCCGCTGTTCGTGGTTGCGCAGAGCCGTTTGCCTCACCTCTTTACTCCCCACAAAGAGACCTTCGGGCCCTGGGGCACTCCGGTCCACCTACAGGGAACATTGTGGTAACACCGTGGACAGCATCCACTCCCCGGGTCCCACTGTGCCCAACAGGATAGGTCCACAGGGGGCCTAGCTCACCTGGGGGCCAACCCTCGCATGAGCCAAAGCCTCTGCCCGACGCATCTTTTCCACCTCAATCTCCCGGGCGATGAGCTGCTTGGCCTGGTAGGTGAGGGGCTTTCGGGCAGGCAGCTCAGGGAAGTGGCAGACCTCTTCCACATTCCTGCTCAGGGCCAGCGTGGGACACCAGGGCACTGGTCAGCAGGGCCAGGGCCAGAGGCCTGCCTAGTGCTCCAACCCCTCACACTAGGACTCTGAGAGCTGAAGTGGGGGATGAAGTCCCACTGCAATTATACTCCAGCCCCATGACAGTTGGAAATTAACAGCTTTGAGCCTCAGTTTTCCCAACTACGAGCAGAAAGATGGAGGAACCTGCTCACACGCAGAGGAAGTAAAACAATGGGCAGGGATGCAGGGATGCAGGGTTCTGAATACCAGAGCCCTCACTAAGCCACTAAACAATAGGGCCATTGCTCTGGTACCTCATACACTAGTCCACAGTACTTGAAGAGCTTTCACTGTCACACATGAGGCCATCCAACTGGGGGACACTGAGGTTGGGAGATGTGACAGTGACTTCAGGTCCCAGGGCTGTGCCTAGGGTGTACCCACACCCAACTCTGTCACAGCTGGGCAGGGCTAAGCTGGGACTGCCACTCCCAACACCTTGCCACGACCATGTGGGTTTCGGCACCCATCCTGCAGCCCTAGGCCTTCCCCAACCCGGAGCTGGGGACTCACGGCTCCAGCCTGTAGAGGTACTGTCCATCAGGTGTGCGTTCCTGGCGGTAGGTGAGACTGTAGGCAAGCATGGTGCTCACAAGGCTGGACAGCTGCTGCTTCTCACCAGCACTGTACAGCTGTGTGCTCACCTAGGGCCAAGTGGGAGGTTAAGTAAAGCCAGAGCCACCCCTACCAGGCACTACAGCCTCTGCTCTATGCAAGGCACTCACAGGGCGCAACTTAGGCGCAAGGATGTCCAAGAGCAGGCAGAGGGTGTCCAGGATGAGGACCTGGGGTGTGGCCCGGCTGCGGGTGGCTGGCGCAACGCCTGACACGATTGTCTGGATCAAGTTTCTCATGTGACTCATCCGGTTCTGGGCCTGGGGCAGAGGTGAGCCAGGGCTGTGTGACCAGAATCATGTGGGGGCCAGGCCCTGGCACAGACAGAACCAAGGCGTACCTCTTGCTGGGTGCTGGGGAAGGCAATCCGAGGCACATGGCTAGAGGCAAAGAGCACATGGAAGGCTGCAGGCAGGAAGGACAGGTAGCGCAGGAGCTGGAAGCTCTGGCCATGGTGGGCAGCCCGCTCCAACAGGTCGTCAAAGGCCAGCCAGTCGAGGGCCACGCACACAGATCCCAAGCTGGAGTCCCGGAGCCGCAGGCGCAAGAAGTTGTCAAAAAGGCCCTGGAGGAGGTGGGAACCTGAGCCTCATCCACCTCCCAGCATTATAGCAGCACTACTGTGAGACTTATCCCTTCTGCCTACCTTGGAAAGTCCTGCATGCAGGGCTCAGCAGGAAGTGAGAGAACATGGCCAGGACCTAAGAGGTCCAACTTGAGCTGTCTTGAGACAGCACAGAATTCTGTCTACCCCATGAGGAGCCAGCAGGGGCACAGGCCCCACCCCCAACTACACAGCTGGAAGGGAGCCCCAAACTCCCCCGACGTGGGAGTTCCATCTGCACAGCTGCACTATGTGCCCTTCCATGCTGCGGATTTTCAGAGTGGCTGAAGATCCCCAGCCGTTAATCCAAAGCTGCTTAGGGTTGGGAGGCAGCTTAGGCGAGGTTTCCTCACAGAGGGGGCCTCTGCCACGTGCTTAGGCCAACACTATCCCATGTACCCTACATCTAGCATCCAGCCCTCCCAGGCCCTGGAACCCAGTGTGGACCACAGCAGAGGCCTCCGTCCCCAGCCCTACCTCGCAGGTGATCTCAGCCAGCAGGCAGTGACTATAAGCCACTGCCAGAGCCCATGCTCCCTGCTTCCCTCTCTCTCATTCCCTTCCTGGCTCCCAAGAGTCCCCGCAGCCCTCCGTCCCTGTCCCTACCACCCCTCAGGGCCTCTCCAATGCCCTCTTCATTTCTCACTCATTCCTGCCTTTTCCCACCACATGTCACCATCCAGACTTCCTCCCAAGCACTCCCTTCAGCAATGGAGCATCAAGGATTCTGCCCCTGGGAGGGCTCACAGGGAAGATAGGTACCTGGACCACTTTCTCATGTTCACCCGCAGAGGTGGTGACTTGCAGGATGTGGTAGAAGCGCTGGGAGGCCAGGGTTAGGGAGCCCATGTCCCTGTCACCAGGCAGCAGTGTGTGGGCTAGCAGGTCAGGGTCCTGGCCTCCAAGTCGCCTGCAGGAAGTGAAAAAGGTAAGGGTTGTGGCTGGAATGGGGCCTCCTCACTCTTCTGGAAGAGCTCACAGCTGACCCGGAGCAGTGGCCCCTTCAGTCTTCCCAGTGACACCCCCACAGCCCTTGCTGCCCTGGATATGTTGACATCACCCTGTAGCCACAGGGGACTTCAGTTAACTGGGGAATTCCCCTAAGTGGAGCTCCCAGCCCTTGGGAGAAAGACCCTGATGTGGACTGACCCTCAGGGTAGGGAGCTCTAAGAGAAGGCCACTCACAGAGGGCCAGGATGGCAACTCTACACACCAGATCCAGGCGCCTCTGGGTACCTCCCCATCAGTTAGGGGCACTGACCAGACTAGCATGCCTAACCTGGGTCAGAGCAGACACACAACTGCCCCTACCCACCTGAGGCTTCGTAGTCTTGTTCAGGAGGTAGAGAGGGTTAAAACCAGGCAAAGCTACCCCAAGAGCCATAAAGGTACGGAGACAGAGACCCTTGAAGGCCAGGGTTATGGACATAAGGCTTGTTGGTAAAAGTGATACTGACCTGCACTGGGTCAGCTTCCTGAGATCTTAGGCACTACGGGCATCTGGGCTGAGGCTAGCCTGCTACACACACCTACCTCTGGGCCCGGGGCAGCTGGAAGACCTCTTGCCACACGAAGAAAAGTCCTTTGCGCTGGTCCTTAAGGCCAACATGAGTAGTCTGCACATCCCGCACACTGAGTTCACGCTGGCCACGCCCATGCAGGAACTAGTTGGGCAATGAGGTTAGAGGCCAGCACTACCCACCTCAAGCTACCCTCCAGACTAGCTACCTTACCTGCAAGGTGTTAATGCAAGCACGGATGTCATTGTCTGCCTTCTCACAAAGGGCTGCCAGTGCACCCGGGTCGGACTGCATCCCCTGTCGCAGTGAGATCTGCAGGGAAAGTAGGGGTGCCACAGGGGCTGTGTGGCCCACCCTCAAGGGCCAACCCCATGGCCACAGCACTATTTCCCAGACATAGGGAGGTGAACAGTAGCCCTGTCCCATAGGCGGCCAGAGGCTACATATCCCTATGACTGGCCTCTGCCCCTGCTTGACTGCCCACCACCACAGGCAAAGCTGGTTTCAGGTCCAGGGGAGAAGGGACCATGACAGAGGCCACATCCCTTACCCCAGGTCGCCCAAGAAAACCTTGGTTGCCTGCCCTGCCCTGCTGACCTCCTGGAGCCGCTGCACCAGCCTTGAGGGCAGAGTCGGTGGGAAATGGAGCAGGAAAGCCTGCTGCTTCAGCTGTCGCAGAGACGGTGCAAACCTGCAGAAGGGGTGGGTTGTGGCCACACTGGTACGAACACAGGGGCCCAGGCAAGACCATCCCAAGGCTGGAGCCCGGCTCCCCACCATGCCCAGTACAGGCCACCCTACTCTCTAGTCAAGGAGGCCAGGGCCCCCATTTGGTGCAGGCTGCCCCTTGATGGTCACTGAGGCTAGGACATCCCATCTAGTGCGAGCCACCCTACTCACTGGTCATTGCAGATACATATGATGGGCCTGGTCAGGAGGGCCCCCTCTCTCCGGTGCCCTCTGCCCACTCCCAAGGGCACATCTGGGCCACCTGGCTCTGCCTCCTGTGGACCCTTGCGGTTCAAAATGCTCAGGAGGACATTGATGGCAGCCTTTGGGGACGTACGGAGAGATGTAGTAAGCAGAGGCTTTGGTGCCTGCCCACCCCTGCCCACCCCTGCCCACCCCTGCAGTAAGGAGGCCCACCGTAGGGGCCCCATCAATCTCATCAATGACCAGGCAGTTGGGCTTCCCGCTGGCACCCAGTACTGACTCCATCTGCGTGGCTGCTTCAATGCGTGTGCGGAAAGCCTCGGGGCTACGGTCATCACTGCAACAATAAGGCCAGGAGAGGGTCGTGAGGCAGCTGGGCTAGTAACCAGTATGCCCAGCAGGACAACATCAAAGGCAGGGCCACACCTGCACTGCAGCCACTCCGGAACGTGGCCACCCCCAACCCTAGTGAGCCCTGATGAAGGACGTGCACCACATACCCAGGACCCTGGCCCCTTGTGAGACAGGAACAACTAACTGTAACAGGTCTCAGGGTTTTAGCTCAGACTCAATCAGATGCCTCAGGAGACAGGAGACCAGGAGCCAGAACCAGACCTTCTGCACCACTCACCTGGCATTCATCTCCACCACACAGTACCCAGCGTGCCGTGCAATCACATGTGCCAGTGTGGTCTTGCCCAGCCCCGGGGGCCCATACAGTAGGGCTACCTGCAGCCAAGGCAGAAGATATACTGCAAGCTACACAGCCTTGGAAGGAAGTCCCAGCCAGAAAGAGGCTGAAAACCAGGCCTCTCAAGGCTGGGAGCTATTAGCCACATCCCTACCCACCAGCCACCAAACAAGAACACTGCGTGTTCAGAGTCCAAAGCCAGTTCCTCAGAGCAAGAGAAAGTCCTGCAAGGAGAAAATTACACTGGGGCTTGACAGGGACACAGCCAGTACCATTAACCATCCACTGTGCAAGCGAACCATGCTGGTAAAAACAGAGTCCTTTGAGGGGCATTGGCATTTTCAAAACTGTTAGGCAAAAAGATTCAAAATGAACCTCACAATACAGTACTTTGTATAAACATTGACCCTATACCCGCAGCCTCTAGAGCATCAAAGTGCACCATGGACCTCTGAGGATGCAATATTACCAACTGCTTAAAGGGTATCCTGGGCTCAGAGGTCTACATCAAGGCTAAGAGGGACTCACCTTCTGCCGGGGACGCCCATTTGGATCTAGCTCAGCCTCCAGCATCTCTTCCACCACCTGCTCCTGGCTTTTCCACTTGCTAGAGGCCGTGGCCTCCTTGCCAGTCCGGGCTGGCTCTACCTTGGGCCTGGGCTTCCGGGCAGGCCTCTCATGGCCAAACACCACCAGGTCCCACAGCTTCAGCCATTTGAGCAAGCAGCGATTGGTGAACTGTGGGGAGGGAAGAATGGCCTAAGGCAGCAACTCTAGCCTTTTAGAGCTTTTAATGAAAACAAGCAGCTGTGGCATGTGTGCCATAGGCACTGGCATGAGGGAAGGACCCTGCCTGTCCCTCACATCAGCCTGCTACCGTAAGCTTGCACCACAGGCAGAGCCACCAAGACTCAGGAGAATGAAGGACTTCTGGTAAGTGGCAGAGGGACTCACACCAGGCCTACATTCCCACACCCTGGCCCCAGCCCCTGGGACCTCCTGCCCTCCCCAGGGGACTACCAGCGTCAGGAGCTACAATGCAAGAAAGGAGATAGGCACGGGGCAGGAGATGCCCTAGACACCTAGACCAGCTCACAGCAAGTCATGGGTGACTGGCAGCAAACCAGATGTGTGGGGACTGTTTCTCATTTATGACCCAATGGGACAGACCAGAGTCCCCCACTTCATCCTGGCAGCCCAGTGGTTTTGCAATACAAACATCAGCTGGACTTTAGGTTCTTCTCTCTTGCAAACAGAAAAGCCAGTGACACCTGAGCAGGAACAAGAACTCACATCATCACTAAGCAATTCTGTGTAGCGCCGGGGTGCAAATTCATCCACCCAGAGGCAGTGCTGGGATGTGTCTTGGCCATCAGTAGGCTCCTCCACGGGGGCCCTCATGGTCTGGGCCTCTTCTTCAGACCTGAGGCTAAAGAGTATTGTGTCCTGATCCAACACATCCAGGCCTTGAGCCCTCACAGAGACCATGTCCACATATACCCCACAAGGGTTAGTCCCTGGGGAGCAGGGAAGGCCCACCAAGTCACCTGTGCAGCGTGTCTGAGAGCTGCTGGGCCTCCTGTATTAACCGCTGCTGTCGCTATGCAAACAGAATAGGGTGGGTCAGGATAGCTCCAATGCCACTCCCTCTACTTCCTGCACTCCCCAGCAAACCTCGAACACCCACCTCACTGTCAACCTGCTCCTTCAGGGAAGCAAAGGAGACACCCAGCAGGTCCAGCCGGCCAGGGCGTCGCCACTGGACATCCAAGAGAGAGCCCTGGTTGGGGAACACAGCAGTCACTTCTGGACCCCTTCCTAGGTCATGGGATCACCTAAAACCCTTTCCCTCAGAAGCTACGTAGCAGGCTGATGTGAGAGGCAGGCTGGGTCCCTCCTACAAAGAACATCTGACCACAGACGACAGAGGAGGAAGCCACCAACAGAGAGCAAGTCTAAGGGAGGCAGCTTTCAGGGGTAAAGAGGGCTTGGGTAGGGGCTTAGATGGTAGTGTGAGGTTGGAAGGCTATGCCTGCTAAGGCTATCCCTCTCCCAGTAGTCTCCCAGTAGTTGCTTTCCCACCTCTGGGCTGCACAGACATGCCAACTTCCAGCAAACCAAAAGGCAAAAGCTGCTGTGAATCTGCCGAGAAGGTCTGCAGTGGACATGAGGCCCAGATTCTTTCCTGGGCAGCATCAACCTGCCCATTCTATACAATGGCCCCAGCCAGCCCCACACTTGTACCTCTACAGTACCCACCTGCACTCCAGTGCCTGAGGAGTCAGGACGGAGCACCAGAAAGGCCCGGTCACCACCTGTGGAGGTCACGTTGATGTAATCTTCCAAGACAGGAGGTCGCCTCAAGACAGGATTGTGAGTGCCATGTAAACCCTTTGCGAGACCTGCCTCTGCAACAGCATCCAGGAGTCTGGGAAGGGACAGGGCTCAGTCTCAGGGTCTTATACTTACTGTCACATTGGGATGGGTTACCTGGACTCCCCTCAGCCACCAACCCTTCCCACAGGCCTCCACTCTGAGGACGTCACCCAGGGAACAGAATGCCTCCAAATGTCTCCTGGAAAGACAGGGGGAAGAAAGGGTGCCCTAAGCCACACACCCACACAGCTCAGTGGGGACCTCAGGACTCAGAGGGGGGGTTATGTCCCTTGGTGGGGACTCAGGAAACTGCAGCTCCTCCATTTCTGGCCCGAAGTTCAGTCTCTTCATGGCCTCCAGCTTGCGCCGCTTGACCTTGGGGGCTGCAGAGGCACAGCAGAGGAACTGGAAGGAGAGCTCCTTCCCACTACACCCCCACCCAGAACAGGGGCCGCCTGTGGGCTTACTGTGGGGCAGGGGCTCCTTGCTGGGGGAGGCAGCATCCTCCGGCCGCTTTCTGGCACCGCGTCTGCTGCTGCCCTGAGAACCAGGGGGATAGGTACAAGTGTCGGCGTCCCCACCAGCGATGGCCTCCTCGAACACTGGCCAGCGTCCGGCCGGGGCAGGCGGAGGGGCCCCCGAGGGCGGCAAGAATGGCATCCCTGCGGAGAAAGCAGTTCACAGCAGATAAAAGCCGGGACAGGAGCCAAGCTCCGCCCGCGACATTGAAAGCCTTCGCTTGCCGCCGCTCCCCCGACTCAGGTAGGGGCATCACCACCGAATACCTCTCCCTGACTCACGCCGCGCGCCCCGGGGCCTGCACCCACCTTCCAGCTCGGCCAGCACCTCGAGCTCCGCCGCGAACTGGCTCTGGAAGTCATCCTCCACGCCGTGCAGCTCCTCCTCGTAGTCCTCCATGGAGCCCTAGCCTAGCCCTAACCCTGGAGACACCCCACACACACACACATACACACAGCCCCTACACACTCGGTGCCCCGCGCGCTCCGAACCTCCCGCGCCACAACCACAGTCTCTGTAGCCACGCTCCAACCCCACCCCGAGCGTGTCGGGGCCGCCAATCAGTCGCCGGCGTGCCCAGCGGCGCTCGCCATTGGTCAGCAGGGTAGGGGCGGGGTTTTGCGCAAGCCGGTGGGGTGAATTTCGCTCAGTGGTCACAGCGGGGACCTAGAGCTCTTGCCATTGGCCTATACAGCCGCTTGTCCGTAGTGAGGCGGGCCGTGAGAGGGGAGAAGGCGGGTCTGCGCGCGCAGGTGGGCGGGCAGAAGCGCGGCTCGCCGATGCCCGGGCACCTAGAGTAGGAAAGCGGGCTGGAGACTCGGACAGAAGTGGCATCTGGGCCCGGACGGCGTGGACAGGCCGCAGGTCGGTTCTGAGGTGCACAAGGGTGCAAGAGGCTCTCAGAGCCGGGGTTTGCTCATCAGGCGCATGAGCGGGGCCGTGGGCTCCTGCGAAGGTGTGTGGACACTCTCTTAGCTGTCCACTCAGAAAAGGCCCACAGCTCCGCTTTTCCTCCCAGATCGGGAGTGTCTCAGGGCAAGGCGGGCTAACCCCCATCTCCGTGCGCACCACTGCATCCCTCTGTCCTCCACCCCTCCCTACCCCCAGATGGGTCATAAAGAGCTCCCACCCCGAGGGCGCACACATCCTGCCTAAAACACAGAGTGTTGTTGCAACTGGAAGGCCCAGGGCTCACTCCTACCCTCGCAGCAGGCCCTGCCATGGAGCCGGGCAGCGTGGAGAACCTGTCCATCGTATATCAGAGCCGTGACTTCTTGGTGGTAAACAAGCACTGGGACCTACGTATTGACTGCAAGACCTGGCGGGAGACCTTGACCCTGCAGAAGCAGCTTCGGCACCACTTCCCAGAGTTGGCTGACCCTGACACCTGCTACGGGTTCAGGTATGTGGCCTGCACGGGTGTCCCATAGCAGCAGCCACTGGAGGGAAGTCACTCTGACTTGGAGCTTTGCCAGGGAGCCCTGGCCACACCATCCAACAGCATCTGGGTACCACTGCACGTTGCTTTCCATAGGTTCTGCCACCAGCTGGACTTCTCCACCAGCGGGGCACTGTGCGTGGCCCTGAACAAGGCAGCCGCAGGCAGTGCTTATAGATGCTTCAAGGAGCGGCGCGTCACCAAAGCTTACTTGGCATTGGTAAGGGTAGAGCAGGGGAACCTAGGACTCCCACCTACTTTCACAGACCTCGCATGGCCACTGGATGTCAAGCAGACTCCCCAGCGGTGGCAGGATGGGCCACTGAGGTGCATGTGGTAACTCTTACCTGGCAGGTTCGGGGCCATATCCAGGAGAGCCAGCTGACAGTCAGCTATGCCATTGGCAGGAACAGCACGGAGGGCCGGACGCATACCATGTGCATCGAGGGCTCACAGGGTATGACAGCCATGGTTGGGGGCCAGGACACACATCCAGCAAGGGCCCTGCACATAATTGGCCATCTGGGGCAAGTGTGGGTTAGGGCTGACACACCTGCTCCCACACCCAGGTTGCGAGAACCCAAAGCCAAGTCTCACAGAGCTGCTGGTCCTGGAGCATGGGCTATATGACGGCAATCCTGTATCCAAAGTGCTGCTGAAGCCACTGACAGGTGTGTCCAGGGCAGGGCAGGGGCCCAGTCATTCAAGAAAGTGAATTGAGGCACAGAAACCTTATATGGCCCACCTGAGTCACCTGGGAACAGCCAGTGCTAAGGTCTGCTGGCAATCCCAGAATGGTCTCTTGTCTTGGATCTTGATGTCTCACATATAGTGGGAACAGAGGGTCACCTACTAAGGGTGAGATTCTGAGGCTACAGCAAGGGAAATATCAGAAAGTGATACAAGCTGGGTGGGGTGTGGGCATAGAGCTGCCCACCCTAGCCTGACCTCCACCTGCCCCACAGGCCGGACTCACCAGCTGCGTGTGCACTGCAGTGCCCTCGGTCACCCTATTGTGGGTGATTTGACATATGGGCAGGCCACTGGCCAAGAGGACCAGCCTTTCCGCATGATGCTGCACGCATTCTACCTGCGCATCCCCACACTGGCTGAGTGTGTGGAGGCCTGCACACCAGATCCCTTCCTGTCTACCCTTGATGCCTGTTGGTGCCCCCACACCCTGGTGCAACCTCTTGACCAGCTTGTCCAGGCCCTACGGGCTGCCCCTGATCCTGGACCAATGGATGGGGACCCTGGGTCCTGTAGCCCCTCTGTACCCCTACCTGGGCCAGGCCGGGACCCCCAAGAGACAGAAGCTCAACGAACATCCTGCCTGCAGTGGCTGTCAGAGTGGACACTGGAACCAGACAACTGAGAGCCACTGTGGGGTACTGGGCTCAGCTGGGCCTGAGAGAAAGGGCTAGCAGAGCAAGCAGAGGGCCAGGCAGGCGTGATTGCTGGAGTTCAGTGCTGTCAGGCTGTGGTATTAATACCTGATTAGGGGGCCTTCCTCCCCGTATCTCCGGGGCAAAACTCTTCCTGCTAGAGCAACTTTGTGACTCCCAAGTGTTCCCCTAGCCACGATGGTGAACCTATGGCCCATGTGCCATAGTTGTTATCATTGAAACCTCTAAAAGGTTAGCCATCACTGCCCTAGGGCCTCATCTCACAGACCTACCAGAGGCCATCTAGCTGGTAGCCTCAGAGCTAAGATCTAGCCAGCCTTTGCCCCTAGGTGGGTTCCTGCTGGCCCAGAAGCTGCTGCCTCTGGTGTCCCACTCACGCAGAGGCCTCCTCACCTGGGCTTTGGTCCCAGGTCCACCCAGTCCTGTGAGGCATTTCACTCTCCTCTGATCCTCTTAATTTACAGCCTGCCCAGATCCTTTCCCGCAGTCACACCCTGCCTCTTCCTGGCCTCGCCTGCCTGGGGCCTTTGCTTTAGCTGCACTCTGCCCTGGGCCCTGCCCTCCTTTGCCTGCATTCAGTGCTTGGCCCTGGTGCCTTGGGCTGTGCGGGGCATCAGCAGAGGCCTGTCCCTTCGAACCCAACACGTGTACTGCTTCTGCTATGGGGCTTCTGGGCTCCTGTTCCTGGCTGCAGCTCTTGCCACAGCAATACCTGCCTGGCTCCCACATGGCCACATGGTGTCACTGTACCTTTAGGAAGCAGCCTGCCCTTACCATCTCTGTTCCTTCTGGTAACATCATCTTCCTGGCTGCAGCTGGGCCATAGGATTTGGAATAAATGTTTAGTAACCAATCTCACAAGTGACCATGAGTGCAATGATCTCAGCTCCAACCCATCCAGCAGGGTCCACAATGGATCTCAAGGTCCTGACTGCTGACCAGCCCTCCCTTCAGGCCTTGTGGGTTTGAAGCCTCAGAGGCTGGGATCTTGGGGGCAGAAGCCAGGTGGCCCAGGCCCCAAAGGATCCTAGCCTCCCAGTCTAAGGCATCACAGTACCAAGCCAGCCTCACCTGGGGTCCCTTATGGGTCTGCTATGTGTACCACAGAGGTCATAGCACTGGCTTTCAGAATCAGCTCTGTGAGGGAGGGCGTTCTGGGCTGCCTGCCTTAGTCTTGGCCAAGGTCCCAGCAGCAACACTGGGTCAGGGTGAGAGGAGGTGCCTTCTAGGGCCCTGGACCAGTTTCCTCACCGTGGTCTCCTGGGGAGGCTAAGTTCCCACCTCAGTGTGCCCCCTCTGAAATGCGCCTTAGCTGTCTTCTCACCTGAGGTGATCTGGTTCATGTCCTGCTTCCTCTGGGTGTCAGAGGGCATCGAGTCCGTCTCGTTGGCCTGCCTGTTCACAGGGCCCAGAGTGAGCACATCATGAAGGGTGTCTCAAGGGCTCAGGATGCTGAGCACCCCTTCCCAGTAGAATGAGCAGCAGGTCCTGCGCCTATGTATTCCACTGCTTGTGGACCACGCGTACTTCTAGGGGCTGGGCCACTTTGTACCATGGGGGCCCCCAGACTTTAAGGAGGGCCATCTCAAAGCATCCCAAAAGGCTAGCTATGCCTTCTTGTCCCCAAAACTGGGAATGTTGAGGGCTGACCTCGTGATATCACCCAAACTAGCAACTGCTCTCGGTTAAAGACAAAAAAAAAATAGGGCTGGAGATTTAGCTCAGTGGCACCACGCCTGCCTCGCAAGCACAGGGTCTGAGTTCAATCCCCAGTACCCAAAAGTGGGGAAAAAAATACAGAAAAGCAGGTGGGGTCACCTTCAGGGCTCCATATAGAGCCCTGTAGGGATAAACAACATCCAGCATCCCCAAGAGTTGTAGGTGGCCTGTGCAAGGGGTGACAGGTGGGAATGTGGACAGGCAGGAAGCCACACAAGGGATAGACCCTGCCCTAGGGAAACCTCCACCTATGCTTTCCCTGAAAAGTCAGCCGCCCTGGTCTCAGAGGTCCAATGAGCCCCCGTGACCACCTACCCACCATGTCCAGTCCCTGCTCCCATGCAGGGTAGAATCTCCAGGCTGCAGAGCTCCAACGTGAGCCCTACCCAGCCTGTCTGCCCCTTACCTCCTGGCTGTACAGTAGACAAGATCTAGAGTGTGTGGAGTAACCAGGCGAGGCTCCCTAGAAGAGGAGTTTCCTCTGACAAGGCGCTCCAGTCCAGGTAGGGGACCATGGACAATGTGTGCAGCAGGGCTAGAGGTCGTGCCCAGTATGCACAGGCACCAGTACTCACCACTGTGTAGCCTCTAGTAGTTCATTCACCCTCTCTGGGCCCCTGTCTCCTGTGAAAAACAGGATTACTGCTGCCTAAAGGCTGTGAGTGGGTTTAATAAAACAGGAGCTTGGTACAGAATGTGGTTGTCTCATCAACAGCTCTCTCGGTCTTCTGTCTAGCCTAAGCCCAGGGCTGTCCTAGCAGCCAGACCCACAAAGGGCAGGCCAGCTTCTACCCTTGCCCCAGTCTGCCTTGGGCTGTGGGGGGTGAGTGGGCAGCCCCCACCTAACACCCCATCCCCACAAGCCTTTCCACGTCCAGAGTCATTTCAAGATCTTACACAGCCAAAGCCTGCTCCCAGGAAGTTCTGGGGCTCAGGGTAGGAGTGCCCTCTCTCCCGGGACATTTCTCCAAGCCAGCCCTCAGACCTTGGTCCCCTCCAGACTGGGGCTTCCAGGCCGTATGCCCTTCACCACTGCCCAGTACAGCTGTGGCACTTAGCTATATCTGCTGTGCTGGCACCGCTGGTGGCCAAGGAATCCAATCGGGACCCTGGATCATGCTTCTGGGCTCTGGAGGGGACTGTCAAGGAGCCTGTGGGGCCTTTGCCATCAGCACATCCAGAGCCTGGCTCAGCCCAGCTTGCTGGTACCAAGACCCTGGGATGCATGTAGGGGGAGGCTACGTGGTCACAATACAGAAGCTTGAGGCTCTGGAGCCCTAAGAGCTATAGGCAGGTAGAGGGCCAGGACTGGGACCATGGGCCAGGGCCAGCCTTAAGCAACCATGCCTGCCCACCTTGCCCAGGAGAAGCTTCTTTGGGCACCATAGGCAACAACTAGGGAAGCCCCTGCTACAGGCTCACCTCCTACCCTGATCCCTAGGAGCTCTCCCAGCAGAGCCATCCCACCCTGTGCCCTGGGACTGACACGGCTGCAGCTATAAGAGGCCTGAGCGGGGCCTTTGGCTGGGACAGTGCTGCGTGTATCTGGACTCTCCCGACCATGGGCCCTGCGTGTTCACTTCGCTCCATGCCCACTAGCCTGTGCTCACACCTGCTCTGCCCTGTATCTATCCCCACAGAAGGGCCATTTAGCTCCCATATTGGTCCATGAGTGCCTCATGCTGGGGAAACATGAGCACATGTACGTACAAGCTCTAGGACCCACAGATCATGTAAACTGAGACATACACATATGTGCAATGTGTGCACACATACACTGAAACATGTGACAAAGGCAGGCTCACACCCCACCCACCCAAGGGGCGTAGACACCCAGCGCTGGGCTCCCATGGAGAGGGGCAATGCTGAGCAGCAGCCAACCATGAGCTCAGACTTCTGCCCCACTGGGGCTGGGGAGCAGGCACCCGCTGAGCTGGGCCCTTGGGAATGAGGAGGCAGCAGCCCAGCCCCCGCCCAGGCCCCTCCCCTCGGGCTGTCTGGCAGGTGTCACTGGGGGCCACCAGACAGAGCAGTCGTGTGCAGCCTGCTAGGCAAGGCATGGAGGCAAGAGGGGCCCCAGGTGCCCCTGCCCTACACCACCCCTGTCCCCCAGGCTGATGAGCTGCACAACATCCTAGAACCTGATCTATAGCTCCCTACATCTACCACACGTGGCCAGGAGCAGCCTTGAACCCAAGCCCCAGCAGCAACCTCCTCTGTACAGTGTTCCTGCTCAGGTGAGAGGCACGGGAAGGGTGGGCCTGCCAGCTGGACCCCAGGGCTTCTGGCTGTACTTCTGGGCACTGGGCATCCCCGGGGAGGAGGTTGAGTCCCTCTGAACATCCTTTCTGCCCCTAGCGTAGGGTGACAACCTCCAAATCTCCTCTCAGCTTTGTAGATTCCTGAGTCAAAGGGAGCCCAAAGCTGTCAGACTGTGATCGCTGTGTCCAGAGGAGCTTGGAGTATACAGCTGTCCAGCAGCCCCAGGATACTGGTTTTAGTGACAGAGTCAGAGTATAAGTTCTACAGAAGGGACAGGAGCCACCTGGGCTGCTAGGTGAGGGCCTGCAGGACTCACTGTTTGTAAGAGATGTGTTAATTGGAGACACCGCTGCAGTGTGGGTCCCCAGAGCACGACCTGTGATAAGAAAGGCCGGGCTTGCTGCTCCTCTCTCCCTATTCTGACGCTTGTTTGTGGGATTATTTCCCTCCCAAAGGCAGAGCAGATGCACTGGGGCCCCACCCGGGGTCAAACATCCTGTGTGACACTGGAAATCTCCCCTTCTGTGCCCGGAAGCCTGCCTACATCACTCCCTTCCCTTCCCCTTCAGCTAGTCCTGGACCTACTGTCTGCTCTCCCATTGTATTCCTGCCTGGGGACATCTCAGCCAGGATGACCAGCACTTGCTGCCGCTCTGTCATGGGCCCCAGAATGGGTAAGATAACACTTCCCTACAGAAAGGTGCCCTGGGCCCTCTAGGAGTCTGGCAGGCCTATGGTAGGGCCATCTGCTTAGCTGCAGAGGTAGAAAATGCTTGGATGAGGCCACCCCACCCTCATGAACCTAACTCAGGGGATGCCCCAGTGAAAGCAGGGGAGGAAGGCAGGGTCCCCAGCACAAAGGGTTGGCCGGGTGGTACAAAGGGACACTGTGAGCTCAGTCCTTGTAGGGGCTTTGAGGCCCCAGAAGGAAGGGAAGAGTCATGGCCTGCCAGGCATGGTAACATATACCTGTAATCCCAGCTGCTCAGATTTCAAGTCTGAGGCCAGCCTGGGCTACATAGTGAGACCTTGTCTCAAAATGAAAAAAAATAAAAAGGGCTGGGGATGTAACTCAGCGGCAGAGTACTTACCTAGCATGTGGGAAGCCCTGGGTCCAATTCCCAGGAACGCAAAAGGGAAGAGGATTGCTGGCCCAGCCAGAAGGACAGAGTTCTTTTAGGCTGTCCCAGCACAGGTCAGGCCAGGCCCCCACGCAGAGGTGATGGGGCCCAGAGACATCCCGCCCGGTCCTGTCCTCCTGAGAACAGCAGGCTCCCGTACCCGGCAGGTGAGGGCCCATAGATAGTTACCTTAGCCGGGGCAGCGTCTGCCAGGACCAGTCCCCAACCACGGGCCCTTTCAGGGCTGAAGATTTTGCCAGTTGGTCTTCCCAGGGCCAGTGAGATGGGGCTCCCGGGGCACAAAGCCCATCTAGTGGACTGGGCTTCCGAGACCAAAACATAGGCCAGGCCTCCATGAGTCCTGGTAGGAGGCCCTCTCGCACCCCGCTGCAGAGGCTGAGGGGGCTCAGGATGGGGTGGGAGTCAACTTTTGCCCCTGACTGAGGGTTTCAGTGAGGACAGAGCCACGGCAGGG